TAAGTGGTAATTATATTGTTAACTAGTTGGAAATTTGGAAGAAAGAATTAGTGCATTATAGGTTTCAGGACTGTTTTCCATTAAATATAATGCAGTAATTGATTTTTGATCAACAGTTAATCCTTAAGTGGTAATTGTTGACTATGTATATACTGTGACCAGATTCACCATCTCTTGAGAAGTATACTATGGATATGATTGCAGACTTGGAAGTCTCTACATTTTGGTAAGAAGACTTGAAGTCTTTGGCTTTGGCCTTCTTGTCAGGATAAAATCTTGGGTAAATTACCTTTCGGTAGTTTGATTCCCTTACAATTTAAAAATCTATATATAACCAGTTTATGGTTTAGGGCTAAAGTATTAACATTCATTTTTCACTAAAAATAGTGGTCAATATAAACAAGTCAAAATCAAACTAATAAATTGACAAATTCAACTTTTCACTAATTTTCTTTCTCTTTTTCTTATTCCTTTAGAAAGAGAAGAGATGATTTTAAAAAATTGTACTTTGGCCTACTAAATCTTAATAAATCTTAAATTTTTTCAAATATAAAGAAGAAGGAAGTGAAATACAAAATAAATAAATAAGGAAACCATTAAATGTTTTCAATCATTTGGTTCTAGAGGTGGCGCTCACTAGACGTTAATACTTTGTTCTGCACAACACTTAGTTCCTGCACTTTTTTGCTTATTCAGAATCATAACATCATTGATCCTGAATCATCTCATGCACTCCTTTATATAACATGAACCATAACACCATTGGTCCAAATTCACCTTGTACAAAAGCTACACAAGATTCACTTTGATACCAAATGTAACGTTCCAAACTCAGGGACTGCCCATTAACTTTTGAGTAGAATCACGAGTTGAAAATATTTAAATCTAAGTTATTTAGTCAGCCATGGACCATATTTGGGTTCCATTCTTTACCCCACTTCCGTGCAGGACGATGTCGGATTGGGGCCTGAGAGTTAGTGCGTTAAGTTGGTGATGTTCCTTTTGCTTGATTTTTCTTAGTGCTTGGTTCAGAGCAGCAGTGCAATTACAATCGTTGTTTTCTAGAACAACTAAAGACAAATTCACAAGGTGATGTAAATAGGATTTTCCATGTTTATGTTTTGTGCGTGTTGTTTTGGTTAGCAGTCGTACGATGAATCAGAAACACTAAAAGAACAGGCCTCAAACTCATTCATTTACTGCAACAACAGATAGACCTATATACTTCTAGTGTTTTAGAAAAATAAAAAGCTCAATTAAACGGGACTCTATCCCTACTACCGCGGCAATCAATCGAGATGGCGTCAATTTCCGTGGAATTTATATGTTACTGTTGCTTTTCTACACAAGACTAAACTCTCAACATCAAGAATCAAGCCAATCAAAGTCAAGTTCTGAGCCCTGACGTTTCAATTAAGTTGAAGGGCCGAACAGGCAAACACTTGAGCGTGTCAACTTTTCCACTGTTTTTTCTTTCTTTCTTTCTTTGCGCTCCTCTCGTTTTCTTCTTCCAAGATACCTTAATTACTTCAACATGTTCTCTTGCCGTGCAAAATACTTGCATTCCGATGTCCCTTCCCACCTTAACTCCCAATATGGTCAGCCATTCAGAAACTAAATATATATGTATAGAGACAAAAGATTGGTCTTGCTATAAGGCAGGGGAAAGATAGACCAGACCACACTGATTATAGAAATTAATCTCTAGATAAATTCCAACTCAGGAAAATCAATGACGCTACGGAGATTTGAATCCTGAGGGAGAGCTTCGTTGATTTGGCTTTCATGAAAACTCTATTCATTGAGTATCCAGTGGAGGAAGTTATGCCATATAGACATGAATGGTCAAGCGGCTGATCAAGTTCGAAATGCAATGAGGAATTTGATCGTCAAAAGTTGATGGTACTTGACAGTTTGAGGTGCACAACTGGTGCAAGCATTCCAACTTCTTCAGGAATGGGTCCTAAAAGATTAAATCATTGCTACGTGACAAATTAAAATACAGGTCTACAAGGAAAGTGAGATGCCCAATTTCGTCAATAGTGGAACTCGAAAGCTGATTATGACTGAGAAAATGGTAGTCAACCTCTGCTCAAGTCTCCTACAAGATTGTGGAATTTGATTGGTAAGGGTATTATTACATGAAAGATGGAATCCACTAGAATTTTGTTTTAAACCATCCCGATACTTTCAGAATAGGTCCCCAAAGAAAAGTATATATAATGTGTGTGTGTATATATGGTGTGTGTACATATATATACATATACATACACTAATAATGGAGTACGTAATTTGCAATTATTACATGAAAAATGGAATTCCACTAGAATTTTGTTTTTATCCATCGCTATACTTTCAGAATAGGCCCCCAAAGAAAATTATATATAACGTGTGTGTGTGTGTATATATGGTGTGTGTACATATATATACATATACATACACTAGTAATGGAGTACATATTTTGCACGTGAACATGATGCTTTTAATTTTTTTTCTTTAAAATGTTTAGAAAATCAGTTATTTTGAAGGAATAAATGTAATTGAGACAAAAAAAATGTGATATTTAATATTTATATTATTTTATATTTTTTCTGAATTTAGTTTGCCCTAACCAATATAAATGCACAAGCAATAAATTATTCTTTATTCCAAGAGCACTTTTATTTTATAACAGTATCAATATTTTCATCTTTTGATTAAATTTAGATGACCTAAATGTTATTTTTTATGCCATTTGAGTTTAAATTTTTAACTTTTTGAATAATTTGTTGCTCCTCTTTAAGTCATTCTATGAATTGTTTATTAGTTTCAGTGAAATTTTCTAATTATTATTGTTTTTTTGCTAACGGTGGATTGTAAAATAATCTATAGTGCTATTGTAATCATAATAGTATCTAAATCTATTGAAATTCCTTTGTTCAAAGTTAAATAGCTTAACTTTGAAGAGAATTGTTTTGATTTGGAGAAACTTATTTGTATTTCTAACTGATGCCATGCTTTATGATTATAGAGTTTATATGATTAAAAATTGTAAGACATTAAGATTATTTATTATATAATAGTCAAACTGAACTTGGATATATTTTTATTCACCTTTGAAGTACTCCTTGAAATTGATATTTTATAAAAAAAAGTTTTTTTTGGCTTAAGTCACAATAATTCAAAAAGATGTTTCACCCTTGTAATTATTATTATGATTGGCATTGATGAATATAATATTATTCATTAATTGTAGTTTAATACTTTTAGTTGTTACAAGAACATGATTGATAATGTTCATTAAATTTAATAAGTATTGCAATTTAAATAAATAAATTCTCAACATAAAACTCTTTGCACCTCGATACTCCATTCCTATTATATTTTTAATTAAAGGTTTTTTTACTCAATACTAATATACGCACATTTAAAAGTTGCTCTTGAGACTTAATTTACTTGTATTCAAAAAATAAAAAGACTCGTGGTATTTTTTATGAGACTCATAGTACCAATTTATTATGTTTTGATTCATGGTTGAAGTACTCTCTAAACTTAGGTTTTGTAAATAAAATTTGTTCTTCTTTCTTTTGGTAAATAAAAAAGAAAGAAATCTTTCATGTTTGATATTATTTAAAAATCTTTCATGTTTAAAAAAGTAAGAAATCTAAACTCTAGCATGTTTAATATTATTTATTAATGACAAAATGCAATGCAATTCATCCATTTATTAGAGAGGAGTGTAGTTTTGGCATCATAACAACTAATATCATTTTTGCTTACACTATTAACAACTAAGATTCACCATTTTTTTTTATAATTTATAAATAAAATTTGTTCTTTTTTTTTCAATTTAATTTACTATAACTCACAGGAATGTTTTTCATACTTGTAATTGTTGGCATAATTGATATTAATAATTCATGAAATGCAATGAATTGGTTGTTCTTGTTTTAGTTTAATTCACCAGAATTACCACAATTCAAGGAATATTTCTTTGTAACTGTTAGCATAATTCTTATTAATTATTATTAAGGAAATGCAATGTAATCTATCCATTTGTTAGTGTTAGGGGCAATATTGGTATTACAAAAATTAAGATCAGTTTTTATTTACACTCAGACTAAAGACTTATCGTGCTTTTTATATAGTAATAGATAGATAGATATGTGTGTGTATATATATATGCTAGAGTTTCCAATTAATGTAAGTGAGTAATTTGACTAAGGATCGGTTCCTGATAAGATTGATCTCATCTAGGTTCGAGTATTTGACAATTCACAAAACAAATGCATAAGATATTTATTGGACCATCTGAGATGTTCTTTTTCATTTCTCCTTTTTTCCTAATGTCTGTTTTTTTGTTTGTTAAATTTTTTGTTTTTGTGGGATGAGTTCTCAAGTTTCTTGCTCAAAATCGATAGGATACACAAATTTTTATTTGGACCACTTTTGTAGCTTTGGCAAATTATATGTCATATGCACAAGGATTTGCAAGAAGCATCAAAGCATAAGAAAACACCAAAAAGGAATAAAAAAATAAAGTATAATAAATCCAAAACAACAAAATTTAGAGAATGCAATAACCAAAGCCAGTAATTGAAATTTAAGTGCCCTTATACAAAGAAGATACTTTGAGGGTCCCTGATATGATTAGTTACTAGAAGAGGAGGGGGAAAAAAATCAGCTGTTAGATACATAGTAAATTTCGTCAAGCTTCAGATTTCAAATTTCCAAGTTGTATTCTTAATATGGTTTTGGCTGTTGATGGCGCTGCATTTAGTTGCTTGGTACATAAATATTTCTCAGATTAAGTTAAATAAAATTTATTGATTTTCCTTAGAAGTTTATGTACATACTTTCCGAGATTAGACATTTGTGACATTTGTCCTAAGCAAAGGAAAATAGAAGAGAATTTGTTGTTACTGATCAAACGTCCAAATCTATTCTTCGACAAATATGCTCAGCCAAATTACATCTTCAACGTTGTTCCTTTCTTGATGCAAAAAACCCTCTAAACCTTTCTACCGCGGACCAGGTAGTCCAGATGCTTTCTTTAGTACTCCAACTCCGGAGCCTGGCTCAAGCTGTTGAAAGTATCAGATCCAAAAATTAGAAGATTAACAGTGATAGAAATGCAGTGCCTTGGAGTCAAGTTTTGAATGTGCAATTCATCCTAAGTAACTCTCTAACTAAAAGTTTACCCCTGCTTTTGCATTTACATTCTATGCATCCTTAAACCAGGTAATCAAAGTAAATTTTAGCCAAAATGTAATGAGTTGCAAACCACAAAAGTTAGAAATTTCGGATAAAGAAAAGGAAAGATACATACACACAGAAGCTCTAAAATTTGTGGTTTCCAGATCAAGAAGTTGTCCAATTGTAACCATTGGAAATATGTTGAATTGAGTTGGAATTTCTTTCGATAGTTGGTCGGACACTTGTTTCATGGTCGGCCTCAACTGAGGATTGGGATCTATACATGACAATGCCAGCTTTGCCACCAACACCACTATGTTTGATTCTTGCTTACTTGGAGAAGAAAGACGAGGATCTGCAATATCTTTGAGCAACACACTATGTGCTGTTGAAGTAGAGGATGGTGCTGACAATATTGACGATATGAAATCACCGGGATGCTTGCCCATGATCACTTCTAAAGCCAATACACCAAAACTATAAACATCACATTTTTCATTTACTTCCATTGTATAAGCAAGTTCTGCAATCCACCAAATCAATAATCACTTCAGACAATTATGCAGATGAATTCCTTCAACTTTTTAAATAAAAAAAATAATCTAAAGATAAAAGCTAGATTACTTAGAGCAAAGAGCAGTGTACCTGGAGCAGCATATCCATAAGTTCCAGCAAATGTAGTCCAATTAGATGAATCAGGCCTGATGAGCCTTGCTGTGCCAAAGTCAGAGATGCGAGCTTGATACTCGGAATCTAACAAAATGTTTTTGCTAGATATATCTCTATGAACTATTGAAGGAGAACAATATTGATGCATATAGGAAAATGCATTTGCCATATCTTTTACCATGTTTGCCCTCTTGCTCCAGTCAAACTTGGACGCTGTTTCATCATTGCTCAACAGGTGCATCAAGCTTCCCCCTTCCAAGAATTCATATACCAAGAAAGTATGTTCTATATGTGTACAGAATCCGTACAGCCTCACGATGTTTCGATGCCGTGCATTTGTTAGTGCACGGATCTCATTGGTGAAATCTTTCAACCTCCTCAAGGTACCACCATCTGTTGCATGAAGTTTCTTGACAGCAACAACTTGACCATTTGGCAACTCTGCTCTAAAAACACTTCCACATCCTCCCACTCCGATGCAATACTTGGGGTCAAAATTTTCTGTTGCATCAATGATGTTTTCATAGACCATTTTCCCATCAAAGCTCCAGATAGTGAACAAATTTCCTGTTAATTCCACAGGTTTATTCTCCACATGTCTCGGATGTGACCGTGAAATGATTAAAATGCCCACAACCACTGTCAAAAGAAACATGGTTCCTAATAGTGGAAGCACAATTAGGAAAATAATCCTTTTACTTGTCCTTCTACTGGTTTCCTTTTGAGTTGATTGAGGGCAAGGCTTCAATCCGACAACTCTGCCACATAAACCTTTATTGTTTCTCAGGGCATCAAATGGAGCTTTTTGAAATGCAGTAATGTTGGGAAGAGGACCTTCCAATTGATTGTAGGATATATCAATAGATATCAGACTGAAGCAATGATCAAAGCTGGAGGGGATGGTTCCTGTTATCCTATTATGTGAAAGATTAATCTTCTCAATGCTTTTCAAATCGCCTAGCTCTGGTGGCAATTTGGATTCCAACATGTTTTGGCTGAGATCAAGAGTTTCTAGCGAGGGAAGAATTCCTATTTGAGAAGGTATGCCTTCAATGAGTGCATTGTGGCTCAAATTCAGTTCCAATAGCTGTGTGCAATGGCCTAATTTTTCTGGAATAGAGCCACTAAGGTTATTGGCCGACAAACTTAGATTTAAAAGTCTAGACATCTGACCAATTTCTGATGGTATATTGCCTGATAGATGGTTGTTGTCCAGCTTAAGCTCAAGCAACAAATTCAATTTCCCCAGACTTCTTGGAATTTTCCCATGTAAGCGATTAGAACAAAGGTGAAGTTGTTGCAGGAGAGATACTTCGCCAAGCCCTGTTGGTATTCTGCCAGTAAGATTATTGTTGGAAATCTTCAGCTTTGTCAAATTCAGAAAGGCGCTCCAATTCCAAGACAGTGTGCCATAAAACAAATTATCGCTTAAATCAATATGGTCCACATGTTGGTAATCACCAAAATCTTCAGTTATGTTTCCTGATAGTTGGTTTCTTTGGACATCGATAGCTTGTAAGCTAGAGCAGTTTTTTAGGCTTCTAGGCATGGCACCCACAAAGTCATTCTCATATATCACTAACCATGTTAGTGAGCCACCACTGCAAAGACTTTGTGGTAAATGACCAGTAAGACGGTTTTGAGATAGTTCTAGCATTTTTAAACGGGTGAGATTAGTAAAAACATCTGGAAGAACACCGCTTAGTTGGTTTCTGAAAAGAAAAATGTCAACTAGCAACTTCAACTTTCCCAATTCAGGAGGGATGGTCCCCTCTAAGTAGTTTTCATAAAGTAGCAATTCAATGAGATTGGTTAAATTTCCAATGGAGGATGGAATATGTCCTGTAAGATTGTTTCCAAGAAGGGATAAAGAAGTTAACTTTTTCAAATTAGCAATGGAATTGGGAATATTACCGGTGAGCTTGTTATTATCAAGTGCAAGATCCTCAAGAGATGTGAGATTTCCAATCTCTTCAGGAATAGGTCCAGACAGAAAATTATTGTAGAGATAGAGCAAAGTCAAGTTTCCTAAGTTTCCAATAGACTGCGAAATGGGACCAGTGAGCATGTTTTTGGCTACAGTGAATACACTGAGAGACCCGAGTTTCAGAATTTCTTCTGGAATGGAACCTGATAGCTGGTTAGTTTCAAGAGATAATTGATTGAGTTTTGTCAAGTTTCCAATCCCCACAGGAATACGTCCTGAAAGTTTGTTGACGCGTAGGGCTAGAAGGTTTAGGTTGGTTAAATTTTCCACAGCCGTCGGGATTGATCCTGTAAACTCATTCTGTACCAGATCGAGTTCAACAAGAGACCTGAGAGACATAAGTTCTTCAGGGATGGAGCCATGGAATGAGTTATTGTAAAGGTACAAGAACCTAAGATGGGTTAGTTGGCTGATTTGCACTGGGATAACACCAAAGAAATGATTTGACTCCAAGCGAAGAAATGTTAGCCTGGAAAGGTTCCCAATGTTGGATGGGATGGTCCCATAGAGTGCATTATCAATAAGATCAATGCTGGTTAGATGGGCTAGAGACGAGAAATTTAGATGATCAAGTGTACCTTTGATGCCAGAACTGGTGATGTTAATTGCCGATATTCTTCCAGCTTTGTTGCATCGAATTCCAATCCAACTGCTGCAAGGACTGGCAGAAGACGACCAGGATGACAACTGAGATTGGCTATGATTGTCAAGACTGGCTTTCCATGTTAAAAGGGCTCTCCCTTCACTTCCATTACCGAATACTGCATGCATTTGATGAGATGCAGCATGTATTCCAGAAATGAAGAGTAACTGTACGATGGCCATGGATACAAAAACTGAATAAAGTTGAACGATGGAATTGTTCAGAATTAACATATTTACTAGCTATATTTTGCTACAAAATCCTCCAAGAGAAACTGGTTGCTGAGAAGCTGGCGGCCTTCATCGGCCATATGCAAGTATTTATAGATCTGTAGCTCCAAAAATGGAAGGCCATGAAGCTGCTCCGATGATAACTGAAGTCGTGGCTGGTCATCAAACATCAATTCTTATTCTCATCTATGTTGCAAAAGTCTTGGTTAATCAATTACTTGACATGGGCACGTTTACATTTTTTTTCCCTTAAATTAACCTCACGACAAAATTTGATGGCTATGTTATATCTTCAAAATTTAATATGCATTTTTGTAATTGTTGAGACTGTTTATGTAATATTGACATTGATATTTTAGCTTAGGAATATATTTTAACTTAATTTAATTTCCTTTATTTTCTTGAGGACTAAAAGGAAGGAAAATAGTTGGAAAGGGTTTTTAGAAAATTTTGACAATGCCTTTGGAACTAAAGCATAAAAAACAAATTTGTTAGGGGGAAAAAAAGCCTTAACACTAACAACTTTCCTAAACTTTATGGGTTAAAAATAAAATTATTTAGCAAAATAAGGAATGGGGCTTGTATATCAACCAAAAAAAAAAAAAGAGCACTAAAAAGAAAGTAGAAGGTTCCAACCAGTCTACACGCTAAGTCTAGCATCGAATTAGTGGTTAATGGAATGATTATGTTGAAATTAAGAGCTAGTGCTTAAGTTTAAGCTACCATTGTTTTCCTTGATAATTGAATAATTAAGTTGTAATTAACAGTTAGTACTTAAATAAGTGGCAATTGTATTGTTGACTAGTTGGTTATTTTGAAAAAAGAATTAGTGCTTTATAAGTTTAAGATATCATTGTTTATTGTTATATATAAATGAGTAGTTGATTTTCAATTAAGAGTTAATGCTTAAGTGGTAATTGTTGACTATATGTTTATACTTTGACCAATCCACCATCTCTTTTCCGGACAAAATTTTCAAGGTATCTCAATTGTATGAAATCATTCAGTTGGAAGAAAGAGTTAGTGGTAGACTTGAGATCAAATCTAGGTCCCAAATGGTTGCTTGGCTAATATTTCTACGAGTTAAATTGGGTTTTGAGGACAAGTTTTATTTATTCATGTGTTTCTTTGTAAGCAATATTTAATTTGAAGATTAGCCTAATAAATTTTGAGCGAAAGCACATATTCAAAATAGTTAATTTAAGTTTTTTACTAGCCCATGAACTCATGTTTATATTTAACTCCTTTTCACTCTTCCCCATTAGTGTGGGCTTAAAGGCCATTCACCTCCCTGAGGGCTTTTGCATCCTTTCAAAGTCCAGCCATAATTCAAATTGTCCATTCAATCGTGCGAGGATTTTAGAAATGACTAATATGTGTTTTGGGCTCCCGTACATTTAATCTTGTATAGCTCTTGGTTTTTACAATCTTTTGTATAGTTGGAACCATCATACCATTGGATTAGGCTCATACTATGCATCGGAACCATAACGTCATCAGCCTAGTCTTACCTTGCACAAAAAATAAGTAAGGTTAACTCTAATACCAAATCTAATGTTCCAAATCCGAAGGTTGGCCCAATAATGTTAAGTGAAATTATGAGTTAAAAATAATTAATCTAAATTATTTAATAGGGTAAGTTACTTATTGCCCACTGTGATTTTATAAAATGCCAGATGAGACCCCTAAGATTTTAAAATAGTCACATAACTCCTATAGTTTTATGTAAAGTAGAAAATGGATGGAATGCACCATCAATTACAGCGTTTATACCAAACGTGCTTTTAATAATAAAATCTTAATATCCATATAACTCTCTTATGATTTGTATAAATATCTACTTTATCCACCGTGATTTTTACATTTATCTACGTAATCTCCCTATACTTTTATACAAGGTGGTTAAACCGTCAATTAATTTAACATTTAAGTAAGGCTACTATTGGTATTTCAACTAACAATGTTACATAGCTATTTTCTGTCAAATTTTCACTTTGCATAGAATTATAAGGGATGAAGTGGTTATTTTAAAATGTTAGGGGGCTCATGTGGTAATAGATGAAACCACAGAGTGGTTCTATGTAATTTGGGTCGTACACCAAGTGAAATATATAGAATGATATATTATTTTTGATGCCATATGTGAATTAATCTCAGATGATCAACAGCAAATTCTAGTATTTTCTTTAATATTTGGGCTGGTATTAGATTAATTAAATAATTTAATAGATGAAGAGTAAAGGTGAAATCATATTATCTTCTCTCTCCTAATATCGTTTTTTAATTTTTGGTTGGAACTAGATGTTATAGGATAAAAAATCTCTAGGAAGTTTGATATAATTTTCAATATCTGGAGGGAGGTTAGTGAAATAGTCAGAAACCTCAGGGGAGGTTTTTCAAATTATCCCTGTATTTTACTTGTAAAACAGGAAGGGGTGAGCATGTTCTCAGCAAAAGAGAGTTCGACGAGTGATTGGAGTTTTCCAATCTCTCCTGGAAAAGGACCTGATAGCTGGTTAATCACAAAAGAAAGGAGATTGAGTTTTGTCAAGTTTCCAATTCCTGAAGGAATACTTCTTGAAAGATTATTGGTTCCTAAGCCTAGAATGGTTAGGTTAGTCAGATTTCCAATAGAGGTTATAATTGATCCTGTAAACTCAAGCTGTTCAAAATATCAGATCCAAAAATTAGAAGATTAACAGTTATACAAATGCAGTACCTTGGGGTCAAGTTTTGAATATGCAATTCATCCTACGTAACTCTCTGACTAAAAGTTTACCCCTGCTTTTGCACTTACATTTTATACATCCTTAAACCAGGGAATCCAAGTAAATTTTAGCCAAAATGTAATGAGTTGCAAACCCCGAAAGTTAGAAATTTCGGATAAAGAAAAGGAAAGATACATACACACAGAAGCTCTAAAATTTGTGGTTTCCACATCAAGAAGTTGTCCAATTGTAACCATTGGAAATATGTTAAATTGAGCTGGAATTTCTTTGGATAGTTGGACAGACACTTGTTTCATGGTCAGCCTCAACTGAGGATTGGGCTCTATACATGACAATGCCAGCTTTGCCACCAACACCACTATTTTTTATTCTTGCTTACTTGGGGATGAAAGTCGAGGATCCACAATATCTTTGAGTAACACACTATATGCTGTTGAAGTAGATGATGGTGCTAAAAATATTGACGATATGAAATCACCTGGATGCTTGCCCATGATCACTTTTAAAGCCAACACACCAAAACTATAAACATCACATTTTTCATTTACTTCCATGGTATAAGCAAGTTCTGCAATCCACCAAATCAATAATCGCTTCAGACTATTGTGTAGATGAATCCTTTCAAATTTTTAAATAAAAAAAACATAATCTAAAGATAAAAGCTAGATTACTTACAGCAAAGAGCAGTGTACCTGGAGTAGCATATCCATAAGTTCCTGCAAATGTAGTCCAATTAGATGAATCAGGCTGGTGAGTCTTGCAGTGCCAAAGTTAGAGATGCCAGCTTGATACTCGGAATCTAACAAAATGCTTTTCCTAGATATGTCTCGATGAACTATTGAAGGAGAACAATCTTGATGCATATAGGAAAATGCATTTGCCATATCTTTCACCATGTTTGCCCTCTTGCTCTAGTCAAACTTGGGCGCTGTTTCATCATTGCTCAACAGGTGCATCAAGCTTCCCCCTTCCAAGAATTCATATACCAACAAAGTAGGTTCTATATGTGTACAGAATCCGTACAGCTTCACGATGTTTCGATGCCGTACATTTGTTAGTGCACGGATCTCATTGATGAAATCTTTCAACCTCCTCAAGGCACCCCATCTGTTGCATGGAGTTTCTTGACGGCAACAACTTGACCATTTGGCAACTCTGCTCTAAAAGCACTTCCACATCCTCCCACTCCGATGCAATACTTGGGAATTTTCTGTTGCATTGATGATGTTTTCATAGACCATTTTCCCATCAAAGCTCCAAATAGTGAACAAATTTCCTGTTAATTCCAGAGGTTTATTCTCCACATGTCTCATATGTGACCGTGAAAGGATTAAAATGCCCACAACCACTATCAAAAGAAACATGGTTCCTAGTAGTAGAAGGATGATTAGAAAAATAATCCTTTCACTTGTCCTTCTACTAGTTTCCTTTTGAGTTGATTGAGGGCAAGGCTTCAATCCGAAAACACAGCCACATAAATCTTTATTGTATCTCAGGGCATCAAATGGAGCTTTTTGAAATGCAGTAATGTTGGGAAGAGGACCTTCCAATTGATTGTAGGATATATCAATCGAAATCAAACTGAAGCTATGATCAAAGCTAGAGAGGATGGTTCTTGTTATCCTATTATGTGAAAGATTCATCTTCTCAATGCTTTTCCATTCGCCTAGCTCTGGTGGCAATTTGGATTCTAACATGTTTTGGCTGAGATGAAGAGTTGCAAGCGAGGGAAGAATTGCTATTTGAGAAGGAATGCTTTCAATGACTGCATTGTGGCTCAAATTCAGTTCCAATAGCTGTGTGCAATCGCCTAATTTTTCTGGAATTAAGCCACTTAGATTATTGGCGGACAAACTCAGATTTAAAAGTTTAGACAATTGACCAATTTCTGACGGTATATTGCCTGAAAGATCATTGTTGTCAGCATAAGCTCAAGCAACAAACTCAACTTCCCCAAACTTCTTGGGATGTTCCCACATAAGCGATTAGAGAAAAGATGACGTTGTTGTAGGCGAGATACTTCGCCAAGCCCTGTTGGTATTCTGCCAGAAAGATTGTTGTTGGAGATCTTCAACATTGTCAAATTCAGATAGGCACTCCAATTCCAAGACACTCACCATAAAATTTATTGTTGCTCAAGTTAATATGGTCCACTTGTGGATAAACCCCGAAATCTTTAGAGATATTTCTTGACAGTTGGTTTCTTTGGACAGTTATAGCTTTTAGGCTTGAACAGTTTTTCAAGCTTCTTGGAATAGAGCCCACAAAATTATTATCTTGTACTGTGAACTACTTCAGTGAGCCACCATTGCAAATGTTTTGCGGCAAATGACCAGTAAGATTATTTTCATTTACTTGTAGCATTTGTAGATTGGTAAGATTACTGAATACGTTTGGAAGAACACCACTTAGTTGGCTCGTGAAAAGAAGAAGAACAACTAGTGACTTTATATTTCTCAATTCAAGTGGGAGAGCGCCATGTAAGTTGTTTTCATAAAGTATCAATTCAGTTGATCTTGTTAAATTTCCAATGGCCGAAGGAATATGCCTTGTGACATTGTTTCCATAAAGGGATAAAGAAGTTAACTTTTCCAATTTACCAATAGAATCAGGAATCTTCCTTGTGAGATTGTTATTATACAGCGGAAGAGTCTCTAGAAATATGAGTTTTCCAATCTCTTCGGGGATATGTCCAGATATGTAATTATTGAAAAGATAGAGCAAAGTTAAGTTTCCTAAGTTTCTAACAGACCGTGGAATGGGTCCGGTGAGCATGTTCCCAGCAAAAGAGAGTTCGACGAGTGATTGGAGTTTTCCAATCTCTTCTAGAAAGGGACCTGATAGCTGGTTAATCGCAAAAGAAAGGAGATTGAGTTTTGTCAAGTTTCCAATTCCTGAAGGAATACTTCCTGAAAGATTGTTGGCTTCTAAGCCTAGAATGGATAGGTTGGTCAGATTTCCAATAGAGGTAGGAATTGATCCTGTAAACTCATTCAGTTCCAAAACGAGTTCAACAAGAGATGTGAGAAACATAAGCTCTTTGGGGATGGGGCCATAGCATGAGTTATTGGAAAGGTACAAGAACCTAAGGTTGGTTAGTTGACTGATTTGAATTGGAATGGCACTAGTGAAATGATTTGAATGCAATCCAAGATAGGTTAGTCTAGAAAGATTACCAATCTGGGATGGAATGCTTCCATAGAGTGCATTATTGTAAAGATCAATTATAGTTAGATGGGGTAGAGACGAGAAATTGAGATGATCAAGTGTACCTTTAATGCCAGAACTAGTAATGTTAATGACTGATATTCTTCCAGCTTTGTTACATCGAATTCCAAGCCAATTGCTGCAAGAATTGGAAGAAGCCGACCAGGATGACAACTGGGATTGCCTATGACTATCAAGACTGGCTTTCCAGAGAGCTTTCCCTTCACTTCCATTTCTTGATACTGCATCTGCATGCATTTGGGAAGCAGCATTTATTGCAGAAGTAGAAAGCAACTGTAGGATGGCCATGGATACAAAAACTAAACTAGACTGACACTTGGGATTCTTCGGGATGAACATATTTACTTACTGGTGATGTTTTGAAGAGAAACCTTTTGTTGTGAAGCTGGCGGCCTTCGTCGCATACATGCAAGTATTAATGGAAGTTGTAGATCCAAAAAATGGATCCAGTCACCAAAGATCAATTCCAATTCTCATCTATGTACCAAAAAAGTCCAGGTTCATTGAATTTAGAACTATAATATTCATTGAATTTAATTTTAATAATTTTTATGAGGACTAAATTTGATTCATTAAAGTTAAAAGTCAATAATTTCAAAGTTTTTGAAGTTTTCTTAAGGATTACAATAATGTATACTTTACTAGCGTTACCATTTCTATTAAACCTACTAGATCTATTGTTATGTTTTCTAGATTTTGCCTTTGCCTTACCGTTTGGATTGGTCATTTTTTGAAAAATAAGTTTTTGGGATACAATACTATAGTAATACACAAAACTTCAACAACCTCAAAAACACTAAAAACACAAAAAAGCAACCTCAAAAACACAAAAAAAAAACCTTAAAAACACCAAAAACAACCTCATCTACAGTAAAGTTTTTCACTTACATTGCTACAGTAAAATATTTTAAAAACAGCTAATCCAAACGAAATCAATGGATGTAATATATGTAACTTGTTTCGTTATTATTATTATTATTATTATTATTATTATTATTTTGGGCATTTTACTCGTTTCTTCAGCGGTTCACATAATTGGACACAAATTTTGGGTATAATGCACATAGTCATGTTCCATAATGATCAATTGACAGAATTATGAATAAAGTTTTAAATTCATTTTCTATGACTTTGGGTTGATCAAAATCCACATACACAAAAGTCAAAATTTGATGGACTATGACTAAGACATCACTCATGATTAATTGGGAACTAAGAGTGTAACCTTTTCCCGTAGGTTTTGTTCTTTTCAAGAAACTTGTCAATATGGCTGCTAAGCCTTTGTTTCAGTCCTGGCTTTTAAGTTCTTGATGCTTTAATTGTCAAAGGCGTGCTTCATGATTTGATAAAATGGAAAATTATTTGGCAATTAAAAGATTTGGGTGACCAGCTCTCTATCTCTATTGGTTTCTTTATTCAGAAAACTTTAAAGAACAACTCTAGAGTCTTAATTTAAAGGGAGAGTTAATGCTTTGAGTTTCATCAATTCAAGGTTCCTAAATAAGAATTGGTGCCTAAGTTGATAATATAATACTATGTTAGTGCTCAAAGGTAATTGTTGACTTTTTCATTGCCAAAGAATTGGTGCTTTTTCATTGTCTTGTAGATGGTATTTTCGGATTATATTTGTTCCCCTTCCCTTTGCTTGATTTTTCTTGGTTGGTTAGGGACAACTAAAGAAACATGTACGGGGTGATGTGAATGGTACTTGTAACTTTGTATATTCCTAGAAACAACAATCCAATTCTATGTATTTCTGGGAATTGTTTTACACATAACTGGAGAACAAAAGATAATCTTTTACATTTTGGAATTGGAAGCAATGGCACTGAAAATTAGCAGCATATTCTCATTTTCAAGATTAAGTTCTACTACATACAAAGCAATATTTAGGCCAACCGCATTTTCCTTTCGCCCTATCACGCTATATACCATTGCCATAACGAGCTCCAGGAAAACGATGATGTTGTTGGACTTAATGGTGCATTAAGGACTTGGAATTTTTATGCCTATCAGGCTTGAGAAGAGCATCTCTTATGGCTTTCAGTCTGTGCAGAGCAACTCTCATGGTTATGCGGTTATCAGGAGAATCTGCAGCACAAGACAGGCCTATCCCCATGACTTTGATCAGGCAATCACCTTGGATTTCTTGGTCAATGGAATCACCTTCCTCGTGTAATTCCGGGTACAGCACTTCCTCAATGTTTGTGTGAGAATTGATGTCTACCCACTTCTTTAAGCTTAATCCTTCCGTGAAACTTGCATGTCTTGGGCTTCTGCCTGTGAAGAGTTCTAGCAACAGAATTCCAAAACTGTAGACATCTCCAGCTGTGGATGGTTTTTCTCCAAAGCCATATTCTACGAAGTAATCAAGCTATCTATTAAATGGTGAACTTTGAGATGAAAAGAGAAAACAATACTATTCAGAAAAAGTCAGCAATGGATCTCCCCTGAATCCTATGTCTGATGCTTAGCATGATGAATTAACCTGGTATCCTTACAAACTCACACTATTCAAGAAAACGAAAACAAATAAAATGAAAGAAATGGTAATAAACTAACCTGGAGGTATGTAGCCTATGGATCCCTTCAGAGTATGTGTACAGCTGATTGAAGGTTGATCACCACCGTTGTTGATCAGCAACCTGGCCAGTCCAAAATCTCCAACCTTTGCCGTCATGTCTGAATCCAGAAGAATATTGCTAGGCTTCAAATCACAGTGCACTATGGGGGCCTCACATTCATGGTGAAGATAATTTATGGCACAGGCAATATCAATCGCTACATTCAATCTGTCGACAACATTGAGCCCCTCTCCATCAGAAGTCCTCCTCTTCCCTGTTATCCAGTCTTCCAAATTACCATTGCTCATGAATTCATAAACTAAAGCCAGAAAACCTGAATTCTTGAAGTCAATGCTGGAGCAAGTGGTGATAAGTTTAACTAGATTCCTGTGCCTCACGTGTCTCAAAGCTGCACATTCTGCTGTAAAGCTCTTCCAGGATCCAGTCGCCTCTGTATTGATGACCTTAACCGCAACAGCAGTTCCTTCTGTCAATTGTCCTTTGTATACAGATCCAAAGCTCCCAATCCCAACAAGATTTTCTTTGCTGAAATTATTGGTAGCAAGGCAGAGCTCATTGTAAGCAATCATTCTATGCCGATGCTTAAGGGATTCAGATGTTGTTTCTACTTTTGCTTTGCCCTTTCGGAGGTAAAATAGAAAGGCAACTGTGAAACACACTGCTATTAGTGCTCCAATTAGACTGGACACCAATATTAACCGTCTGCGATGAGCGTGCCTATTATTGCATGTCGTTTCCAGGCAGAGGTTTTTGTTGCCTTCCAAATGAACTTTGGAAGGGTCTACAAAAACTCCACCAGAGGGGACATCTCCTTCCAAATTGTTGAAAGAGAGATTAAGGACCTGAAGTGCCTGCAAATTCTTAAGATCAAAGGGAATTGTGCCATTGAGTTGGTTTAAGGAAAGATCAAGAGTTCCCAATCCCCTTATATCTCCTAGAGTGTCTGGAATATGGCCTGACAGCATGTTTCTGGCAAGTAGTAAATGCTCCAAGCTCTTACAGTTCCCAATTGCCTTTGGAATTTCACCTGATAGACGGTTGTCAGATATGTCAATTGTAACAACTCCTTCCAGGAATCCAACTTCTTCTGGCAGAGGACCTGTAAGACAATTCCTAGAAAGATTGAGAAAAGCGCTTAAACTTGGAAGATGGAGGATTTCTGGTGGAATGCTTCCATTGAGCTTATTGTTGGATAAGTCCATGGAAAGTAGACTTTGGAAGTTTTTGAAGGTAGCAGGTATACTACCCAGCAATTCATTTTTTGATAGGTCAATCTTGTTCAACTTCTGGAGATTGCCAAGGGAATTTGGGATTTTTCCTGACAATAGATTTCCAGCCAATCCCAATACTTGTAGTTCCTCCAACTGGCCAATTTCTGGGGGAATTTCACCATAAATTGCCTCATTACTCATGTCTAGCAACTCTAAGCCTCTAAGCTGGCCAACTGAGGGCGGTATACTGCCATAGACACGGTTTCCTCCCATGTAAAACTTTTTAAGAACTTTAGAAAGATTGCCTATGGTCTCTGGAATTACACCTTCTAAGAGATTGGAATCAACTGCAAGGAAGTTTAAACGAGTACTATTTTTCAAGGACTCAAGAAAACTAAAGCCATTAGTACCTGAACTAACAATCCTATTGTACCCGATGTTATACATCTCAAGATCAGGAAGATTCCCTAATCCTGGAGGAACACTTCCATGCAAAAGATTATGTGCCATGCGGATTATTCGTATCCTTGTAAGATTGTGCAAGGATCCAGGAATTGTACCAGTGAATTTATTGATGCAAAAATTGAAGCCTAGAAGATTTGGAAGCGTTACTCCAACATTGCTGGGAAGATCACCCCACAAATCATTGGAAGCCAAAGCTAAATAAACAAGGGAAGACATGTTGTAAATAGAGGCAGGGACTGTACCAGTGAAATTATTAATTGTGAGATCAAGATACTTCAAGTTTCGTAGATGGGACAAATCACTTGGTATCGGTCCATCTAGTGAGTTGGTGCCTAGATTTAAGTTGGTAAGGGTTGAAATGTTTACTAGCGAAGATGAGAATGGACCAAAGAGCTGGTTTCTCGCCAGGTTCAAAACTTGAAGTTCTTTCAATTGGCCAATCTCTTCAGGAATTCCCCCCGTCATCCGATTTTGCATCAAGTCAAGGACTCTGAGCTCTTTGCACTGACTAATGTTACTTGGTATAGCACCAGTCAGGCTGTTGAAGCTCACATTCAATGATCTAAGACGAAAGAGATTGCCAAGTTGCTCAGGGAGGTTTCCTGTCAATTGGTTATTCTGCATTTGAAGTGATCTAAGGAAGGACAGGTTGCCCAAGTAAGGGCTTATAGAGCCTGATAGTCTGAGGCCTGAAAGGTCCAGTCCTATCACTCTTTGGCCATTTCTGTTGCAGACAACTCCAGTCCAATTGCAAGGAGATGATGAATCTTGGTCCCAAGTGGATAAGGGATTAGACATTTCCATATTTATCTGAGACTTAAGAGACATCAGTGCCTCCTTGTCAGAGACAATGCTAAGAGCAGTTGATTCTGCAACATGAAATATGCCTGTGCAAAAGCAGAGAAGTAGAATTGCAAAATGAAGCATAAGGATGCTTTCTAAAGCCATGGGTTTTGCAAGTGTATGTTGATGGATGATTGGATGGATGTACATTCAGCACCGTATCAAGTCGGTATTTATAGGCAACAAAATATGAGGTCGAACATGTATCCAGTGCACAATATTGTGATCAAAGCCACGTTTGCTGGTGGAAATAATTGTAGTTTCTGCTTGACAAACTACTCAACCTTGGTTTCAACTTCTTCTACCCTCGTGCAAAGACTTTCCTTTGTAGTGTCTAGTTACCAACTGACCATCAAATCATCTTGCACCAAGTGTGTATGTAGTTCAAAGAAAGTAACCGTTCCCAGTCCGACGGAGCCACGGCTTAGACTTTGTACAACGCTAGTTCTTATAATTTATATGCCCTCGTCATTAGTTACCATCAAATCATCTTGCAACAAGTGTGTATGCAGTTCAAAGAAACTAGAGGCAATTCTTCATTAACCGTCGACTCTTCCAAACTTAAGTTTTAGGTTTATATATTTACTCCCTACTTTTATTTTTCCTTTTTGACAAGCTTATAAGTAACCCGCAATGGCGATAGCAATATAATCAACCAACTAACCAACAAATGGCGCTATTCATCACTCAATAATACTACAAATAAACTCATAAATAGTGTGACACCAAACTCATAAACTCATTTATAGGGAAACTTGAATGCAGGCTCTCTAACTCATAAAATTTCAATATTAACCACTAAAAATCAAGGTTTCATAGGCATCTACCATTAATTTTATAGAAAAGTGCAGTCTTTAAAATGCTAAAATAATAAAGTGTAATAATGCTGATATTCCTATACGTTATTAACTTTCAAAATTATAGTGTCTATGATACTGCATCAGGATCCTTATGATCAAAGCTTTGTCGTGTTATCATATACTCAGCAATGCTACAACTAAACTCATAAACTCATGTATAGTGTGACTAGAACGTAGGCCCTCTAACTCGTAAAATTTTAACTTTAACCATTGAATTAAGGTTTAATAGGCATCTACCCCTTCTTTTATAGATAAGCCATTTTAAAAATGCTAAACAATAAAAAGAACTAACAATTTTGATATTAATTTAAATTCGTTACTGATTTTAAGAATCATATATAGTGTCTGGGATACTACATAATTTGTCTTGTTATGTTAAACAATATGTCTTCATAGCATTTGAGTTACTCTTCCTCCGAAACTAATTTGGCAGTTGTTACGGTAGGAGTTGAATTTGAAACAGCAAAGAAAAACTCAACAAGTACCACTACGTAACCATGTTTATGCTTGGTTGGATCTGCCCTCCTGATAAGTTTACAAATGAACGCTCGGAAGTCTTTGGCAATGGCCTTTTTCTGGGGAAAACTTTGCAAGGCACTTAAACGTGTGCAATCATTTAGTGGGAAGAAAGAGTTAGGGCTTAAGTTTAGACTATTCTTCATGTTTTCCTTTATGATTCAGTAATGAAGTTGCAATCGAGAGTTAGTTTTAAGGGATAATTTTTGGCTATGTATGTTTATACACACTAATACATGCACTCATGTTGGGAGGGAAGTAAATTCCGTGTCATTACTCCAGGCATATTGCTTTCTGTTGTCTTCTGCAGGGTATTTTGGGATGATACCTGTTCCTTTTGCTTGATTTTTTCTTAGTGCTTGGTTTAGAGCAACAGTGCAATTACAGTCGCTGTTTTCCTTCTCCTTTCTCGAACAACTAAAGACAAATTAACAAGGTGATGTAAACAGGGTTTCCATGTTTATGTTTTGTGCGTGTATTTTTTGTTAGCAGCCGTACGATGAATCAGAAAGGCCTCAAACTCATTTATTTACTGCAACAACAGATAGACCTAAATACTACTAGTGTTTTAGAAAAATAAAAAGCTCAATTAAACAGGACTTTATCCCTACTACCACGGCAATCAATCGAGATGGCGTCAATTTCCGTGGAATTTATATGTTACTGTTGCTTTTCTACACAAGACTAAACTCTCAACATCAAGAGTCAAGCCAACCAAAGTCAAGTTCTGTGCGCTGACGTTTCAATTAAGTTGAAACGGGGTCCCTTTATGGTAGGAACGCAAGACTAGTGTGAGAAACATTAATTATGGCCACCTGTAGAGAATAGTAGTAGTGGAAGTTGGACGCGCATGAATGAATGGGTAGGAGGAAACGGTTTGGACCAAGCATAAGAAGAATAACAAGTTGAAAGTAGTGGGCAGATTGTAATGGGACAAATACGAGGAAATCTATTATACTAGAAATTTATTAGTCCATATTTTTTAAAAGATTTCTATTAATATGACATGTATTCTGGAATTATTTTACTCTTTGATAAATTCAATTAATGTAATTTAATAGTTATTGGTTTGTTTAGTTCAAATGTTTAAATCACTATATTTTAGTTAGAAAAATATTTTGTTAAACTAACTTATCGAAAAGCCTCTTTAAGAAAATATTTTATTTTAACATTTCCTTTAGACCTAAAAATCCTAGTTAAACTAACTTATCAATAACCTTTTCCAAGTAAAATTTTACTATATTTACTACTTTCAACTTTTCCCTTAGTTGCAAATGACAAATAGCATATATATACTTTAATATATGTCATTTCTCAAGCATTTTGAATTAGTTTATCTTTTAATTAATTTCAATTAATGTCATCTAATGATTATAGTTTGTTTAATTTACATGTTTAAATCCCTATATTTTAGGTAGGAAATATTTTTGTTAAATTACCTTATCAAAAAACTTGTCTTCATTTTAACATTTCTTTTAGGCACAAAAGGCCTGGTTTAACCAACTTATCAATAATTCTCTCCAAGTAAAATTTTTTACTTTAATGTTTTCCTTAGCTTCAAATGACAAATAGCATGTATTGTCATTTGTAAAATTTTTTTGTATATTAGGATATTATAAATTTAAATAAATGGTTTGACAAACTGATAAATATCAATGTATGACTGTTGTAAAAGTGTAAAAACGATACATTTTTTCCTCAATCCTGTTGTACAAATGGAGAATTTTATTTATTGTCTTATCTTTATATATATGTAATAGATGGAGGGTTTTTGATCAAAAACCTTCACACATCTCCAAAATCCTAATTCCTTTTTTCCTAGAATTTTACATTTATTTTAATTCACACATATTGACTTCACAATTTAGTACAATCAAACCATTTCAAATTCTTTTGTTTGTTACCTGTATGCAAATTAAATTTTCACGATTTCCAATTTCTCCCCATGTCTAGTTGACCCTTACAATTTCAAATTTATGTAAAACTTATCCAAATAACATTTGCAAAATTTTAGATTGATAACACAAAATTTAATTACAATTTCCATGACTTTAGAATAATTAACTAATAACACAAATTATTTACAATTTTAGTGTAGACATCTTTAGAGAGCTCCCAACTCCCCATCTTTTTCTTATATTTTTTATTTATTTTTAATTAAATAAATAACCTTCAATCTTTGCATTACGTACTTACCATGTATGCGGTCATGAGTTAGTTACATTTTCAAAATACTAACAACATTCAAAATATTAGCACAATTTGAAATTACATACTTCTCATATAGGGATTTATGTATGAGTCACATTTCTAAAAAATATTAACAAAACTTAACATACTAACACAATGCCAGACTTATAAATGATTATTGCTAATAAGGAAATAATATTTGAAATCCTTCAAACTGGTAATAACAAAATGAAAACAACTTATCAAATATAAAAGATAAAACAAACTATCAAATTTAAAAAAGAACTAACATTTACTCCAATCATTCTTTTAGGTAATTCTAACATAAATATGTATTATTACCTTTGGTAAATCTAACTTAAATATGTAACTACTATTTAAACATTAAATTAAAATGTCCAATTTATAAACATAAAATATTTATATTGTCTAAAGTTAAAAAATAAAAAAAAATTTATGTATGAAAAGATAACACTTTAATTTTTTGGTTGGACACTACCCAAAAACATACTATTAATTTGGCAAGAACAATATAAAAAATAACTTAGGAAATATCAAAATTAAAAAATAATATCAATTTCAAAAAAAGAAATAAACAAATGCTGGTAGTTTTTACATTTCATGTTCTTTATTTAGGATAGTTAAGGGTGGGGCAAATACTCACTAACTTGAAAATCCGCTATACCCGATTTAATCCGATCCAAAAATTAGGATATCTAATTCATATTATTTGATCAGATTAAAAGAGGGTAGAGTATCAGCTTAGATATGGGGCGGGTTATGATCACATAACTAAAAACTCATGGATACCTGACCCACCTACATATATTTTTTATTTATATATATACTATAAAATAATATTTTTAGAGCTAAATTTCATTCAACAAATTGCATTACAAATATGAAAAACTATAGTTTGTTTACAAGGTTCATTTGTAGAGGCCATAATCTTATATTTTTTAGAAAAGATTTTAATTAATATGGAATATATATTTTAAAAAAAGGTGCTACTGATTTCAAATTTTTATTGATTTTGAAAGCTTTTAATTTTTTCCCTTTTTCTTGTATTCTCTTCACATATTTGTTTTTTGGTGGGAGGCTTTTTTCGAAAAAAAATCTTTGTTAAATCTTATATGAATATGTAAAATATAGAATTAAATTAATATAAATTATTTTTTAAAAAAATTAAATGATAAGTGGGGTAAGATGGGTACCCGTTGATCTGATTCTATCTTAGCAGGGTACCAGCTAATATGCGGGGTGGGTAAGGGTAAAAAAATTACTAACCCACAAGTTGCTGGTCAGATCAATCAAATGGTGCATAGGGCGGGTATCCGATCCATGCCCATCCCTAATGATAGTGTCTATCAATAATGCTAAAAAAAAAGTTAATACAGGCATTTAAAATCTTCCTTTGGATTTTGTTGTGAACTATTTTGAAACAAATACATACTAGAATAAAGTCAAAAATACAACTACACAAGGCTAAATATATAATTTTTTATCGGCTTGGGCACCTGTTAGAATATATTTCAAATG